TCCTGCATCGCGCGCGCGTGCCCGCGAGAGCGCGCGCATGGCCTGCACTCGGCCCCCAGCAAAGAACTCGCGCAATCTCCGCCTCGGTCTCCGTCGCGCGCGCCATCGATCGCGCCCGCGAGCGCGCTGCAAACGCGCGCAGCGCGTTCGATGACATCGCCCCATAACACATGCTCAGACAGCTACGAACCAACCATGGTATGAACAACGCATCGATGCAGGGTGCATCCCACGACTGGGCGTCTCTGCGCACCTCTCTGCACGGCGCCTCTGGAAGAGCCTATGGCAGCACAAGTATCATGATGTGTACGATGTTTTGCTCCAGCGTCGAGTTCGCGATCATGGCCTTCACGGCCCTCTGGACATCTGTGGAAAGGAGCTCGGGCTCTGCGCCTGCTGCGGCTCGCTATTTTAATCAAGGCTGCGACTTGGAATTGCGCGCGTAAGAAGCCGAATTCTTGGTTCTGATTACCTCTGCACGCTCTGGGAGCGCACTGCACTGCTCCCGAATGAGATGGATAGGGTTCGGGCCACGTCAGCCATCATGACTTGCCTCATCTCCGCGGGCCCCCCCAGGCACTTCACCGTGGTGGATCGTGCCTGGGAGGCCCAGCATGTTCGGCGATGGCTGTCGCCCGTTATCCAGCAGGCTCGCAAGAGACGCCCAACTTGGGCAAACTGGGGCGCGCGCTCTGCTCGCCGCACATCTCCGGCGACAGCGAGCACGCGAAAGCGTTTCACCGACATCGCCCGCGCATTTCACGCCACTGATTGAGATTGGTCGGCCCACTCCCGCCAGGCTAACGGCGACGGCCGGGGGAGAGGACATGGAACGAGTTGCAACAGGCAGTCGCAGCCCCCTCCTCAGTCAAACAAACCCCTCATCGCGACACAACTCTGATCTCCTGCCCGCGTTGGCCTGGTCCTGGGGGCTTGGATCCCGTGCATCGCGTTTCTCGTCGTCGCCCCGCCCCTCGCCACGCGCCAGACGAGCGACGATGCGCCAGCCTCACCTCGCATCTGCTCGCGTTCGAAACGAAGGCCTCCCAGGGACACGCTGGCACATGCTTCGCGGTTGAAGAGAAGGGCCGCAACATTTGATGGCGTGTAAGAGTTTGATTCCAGCCAACTCGGTGGCTACATATGCCCAATCATGTTTCTGACAGGTGGCGGTTTGTTGATGCCGCGGTTGATGCATTCGCATCGCGACGCCAGCCCCTCCGCGACTACGTCAATCCTAAGTCGACGCGGGCCGAGGGCGAGGACCCATTTCATCGAGGACAGACTCTTTACGCTTGCCCGGCGGATAGAATTCTGGGGTGGTGGAGGGCCCGCGATCCTAGCTGGTGGCTGACGCGAATGTACCGGGCCGATGCACACCTGTCTCCGCAACATCTGCCACTTCGCATGCCTGCCATCTCGCGCGCTGGATCGCATCGCCCCCAGTCGGGCCCCTCTCCAGCCACTTATCAAGGGGCCCAAGGACACACAAAACAGTACACACAAATAAACAGATTCCCCATATTTCCACATATTTTCTGGGTGTTTGTCTCCCCGCCCAATTCCCATATTTTCCTATATGTTCTTGGGGATCGACGATGAATTGTGTCTGTGTTTTTTTCCCTCCTGAACTTAGACGTGTCCCGGGTGGTCCTTCGAACCCCTCGATGGGGAGATCCCCAGCTCTGTCGCGCAGATCCCCGGGCTGGATGCCCACCCAGCGGGGTCGTGCTGCCGGTGCCCGCTGCCGTGGATGCAACTCTCTGATGCACTTTCCTGGCCTGGCCGTTGGCGATGGTGGACAGGCTTACGAAGCCAAATCGCCGGACAGAATCCATTCCTCGCTCGATATCCTGTTCGAGAAGCTGGAGTCTCACAAAGAGAAAAAAGACGTTGCGTATCCGTCGTGCGGACCTGGCGGCCCCATGTGCTCTTTCGCGGCAGGGTGAATCAACGTTTCTGGGGCTGTACGGCGTGGCTCCTCAAACGTACCCGACGGGCTCTCGAAGGGTTCCTTGGTACGCGCCTCTTTATCATACGTGGCCTGGTCGTTCAACAAGTCCCATGTGTACCCATGGTAGCCCCCTTGAGCGGGGCCATCTTGCACGCGGTCTTGGGTGCCCTGCGGTTGCTATCGGAGGCAGCCCCTCCCGCGCGTCGGCGACCTTTGGCGACAGGCAGGTACGCGGACGACATCACCCTCTGGCCAAAACTGCGCTGCCGTGTGCGTATGTCCCAAACTGAAGGAGCCCTGGGGCACATAAAGAAATAGACGCAAATCCAAGGATTCCCCATATCTGTTCCTGTTTTCTGAATTTTCGTCTCCCCCCCCATTTCCCATATTTCCCATGTTTTCCTGTGGACCGACGATTAATTGTGTCTGTGTATCTTTTCCCTCCTGACAAACGCATGGCTCACTATGTGTATGGATCTACGGTGAAGTTCGATGTTACGGAACCGACTCGTCCTAACGCTCGCGCTGCCGTCGTCCTCACACCTCGAGGCCACTGTCTACCATGCCCTTAACTCAGCCCGCACCAGCGTCATACACAAAAATGAAGCACACGCCTTTACGGGCAAGCCCGATCCCCTTTCGGCGGCGAGAGAGGGGGAAAGTGAGAAGGGGCGGGCCTTCTCAGAAGGCTCGGAGGTCCCCCGGCCTTCTCTGAGAAGTTTCCAAAGCAACCCCCTGGGGACACCGAATCTCACAAGGCGCGAAGGCTTCTGGTAAGCTTCGCCGTCGTCTGAAAGAAGGATCCTCCTCCTCGCTCCCCCCGGGGGGCGCTGCCGGCCATTGCAAAGCAGTCCCTCGCACCTCTCCTGGGCTTTGTTGGCTCCTAACCACCCACAGCAGCACCGAGCCGAACTGCACGGTCGACTACCAACGCCGGCGCAAAATATACACCACCACCACCACCACCTCCCTTACTCCCTCCCTCTCCCAGGAAAGATAAAGGGAAGAGGAGGGCAGAGGAGGGAGGAGGAATCGACATGGCGGTGGTGTGTATTCTTAGGGGCCCCATACAGGTATGTGACTTGATTGAAAATTCGGTTATCATGAGACACATATCCGACGAATGCGCTACAACATTGCACTGCTATCTAACCGCATGGAGATTTGCCAGGCAGCGATACGTCTAGTTATTCTTTTCTCTCGGAAGCTACGGACTACCCCTGAAGTGCTCGTGGCAGTTTTCTCTCCAAGCCTTGCAGAAGAGCACGCGCGCCCGACGCACGCCCCAACTTGTCGCCCAGACCACCACAACCCCTCCGTGATGCACTTTGGCTCGTTGCGCAGAGGAGGTGGAAAACAGTCTAGTGGACCCTGCGCCCCGCGCGAACCCTCTCTCCAGAACCGAAAACTGGCCAGTGGAGGCGGCGGCGTCGGCGGCGGCGGCGGCAGCAGCAGTGGCTTCCACGGAGATGATCGGCCAGGCGACCTCCGTTTATGGACAACATGGCGGCGCTGGGTGCGCTCACGCGGACGGGCTCGCAACTCGCCCAGACCCAGCAGCCGTCGCAGGCCACCCGCGGGCGCAGGGGACGGCCGCGCCTTCGCCCACGACACCGGCGACGACAGGCCCGGATGGAATCGCCGAGGGCGAACCAGCTCGGGAGTTGGCTAGGGCGCTCACGGAGGCACTGCTCGGGGAAGCAGGCTGCAGCAGACGGTCGACCGCAGGCGCAACCAGGTGGGCTCGAACCCCGCTGCACCTAGCACTGGCCCCTCGGCTTCACCCACGGGCGCCTTGAAATCTAACCCTGCAATCCAGCAGCTACAGGCCAACAAGAAGACGCTGCAGGCGCCGGTGGACCAGCATAGTCGACTCGCACCTGGAAACAGCTCCACTCTTACGACGACGGCGAAGGACCCGCGGGCCACCTGTGAGATGCTGGGGCGGATGCCCGGGGTACCGCAGGACCGACGAGAGCCACCCGCCCCATCGCCTCTTCGGGCACCTCCGAGAGCGGCAGGGGCGCACCGCGGGGAGCGGCGCCGGGTGGGGCGGCTGCACTCCCGGGACCCGTGCCCGTGGCCTCGGACAGTGGTGACGCGCTCTGCGGCACGATGGTCAATGCTGCGAAGCGCGCCACGGCCCTGCCCAGCCTCAGCGCAGGCGCCAGTCGTGCAAACGTAACGCAGCTGGCGCAGGAGATCTCGCAGTGCGACAGTGCGGAGATGCCTTTCGCTGAATGGTGGACCCAGGTGTCGCCAGTGGGGCCCAAAGCTGCAGTCCCTCGGGATGGAAGCGACAGAGCTGCCCAATGTTTCGAGCTTCAGTAGGATCGGCCAGAAGCTATAAGCCCGCCTCCCCGAGGATAAATCATGGGCCGATGCGGCCAAGCCATCATACTTTGATGAGCCTCTTCGGTCGTGGATTGGACGCGTGCGGTTCAGACTTCACACATCCTTTTTGTATCAAAGTCTCCTGTGCAGGAGGCTTAGGTCGCCGTTCGAGGCCCCAAAGGGGCCGCAGATATGTATCTGTCTCCCGTGCAGAACGATTGTGGCCGCCGCTGGATAGATTTCAGAATATCAGAATCTGCTTTGGTTTACTCAAAAAGCTGCGCGACTCAACCTGGAACTGGCCATCTTGGGAGCTGGAGGTATCCTGATCGGTAACGAGCTAAGCTCATCACAAGTGTGTGTGTGTGTGGTGGCGGAAGCGGGGCTCTTGCTTGTGCTCTCACTTCCTGCAAGCCAGCTGTCAGGCCCATCCACCCTTTCTCGAGGCTAAGGCACGCCGCTTTTGTCACTCCAAATCCCTGGACTTGACCCTCCGTCAAAACCGAACCCTCAAGTTCCGTTTGAGGAGCTCCATGTCGTGGCATCGGGCGTGCATACATTCACACACAGACACACACACACACACACACACACACACACGCACACACACACACACACACACACGCACACACACACACACACACACGCACGCACGCACACACGCACGCACGCACGCACGCACGCACACACACACACACACACACACACACACACACATATACGCAAATCCACCCCCCGCCCAGTCCCGAACCCTCCTTCACAGCGCGGTGGCTGATATCCACGGCCGGGCAACTGGATACTTGTGGCATGCCCTCGCAGATCACAAGAAACTAATGGCTGCTAAGTGGCTGCGTGCACCAGGTCTGGCGTGGAGCCTGCGAAAAGCGACAGGAGCTCCTCGCAGAGCCCAAGGCTGCAGTGGGCCCAGAGGACGAGGACCTTGAGCAAACAGGTCGAAGCACTCGGGCACGGGGCGACGACGGCCGCCCAGCACCACGAGGAGGTGAAACGCCACGGGAGAACTATGCACCGCTGCCGCCTGCGGCGCCCGCCGTGGGCGACGGCGACAGCCGAGGCGCGCGCCCGTGTGGCGTGGCGGCCGGAGCGAGCGGAGGAGCCTCCGGCTGCGCGCCGCCGCGCAGCTGGGACCACTCGCGCGCCCACTCCCAGAACATCGGGTCCTCCTCCACGCCGACCTTCACGAGCGGCGAACGCATCCATATGTCCACGCCCTCGCGGTCTGGACTCCGGGGCGCGGTCTCCTGCGGATGCGCGGTCGCACGGATGCGCTCCGCGCGAGGCATCCGCGAGCAAGAGCCCTCCGCATCCGCAGGGTCGTGGCCCAAGGGCCCGGCCCGCGAGGCCGCGGGACACGGCAATGAATGTTTCGCCCGCGGCGGCCTCCTCGATGCGGGAGCCCGGGGGGAGGCCGAGCTGGGGCATCGCCTCGGGCGACGGGTCGTTCAGCAGCCGGGGGGGCGGCGGCAGACCCTCGAGCGTCGGGGGCTCCCAGGCGCGGCGGGGTTCCTGCTCGCCCGGAACGAGGTGGGAAGCGGTCCAGTCGTTGGCCCACTCCCGGAAGGCATTGTCCTGCTGCGAGCCGTGGCCGCTCCGCGGACTGGCAGAGAGGCGCAGGTTCGGCCTGCTGCGGGCCTCGTAGGCGGGCTCGTCCTCATCCCAGGGGACGTGGCTCTCCACCAGCGGCTCCTCCTTGTCCTTGAGCGCCTGGCGGTGGTGGTAACACAGGTAGCAGCACATGAGACAGGCGGCCAGCAGTAGCACGGCGGTGAAGCCGCCGCCAGCCGCAGCTATCAGCACGGTGTCCTCCCCAAAGAGCCCCACGCCGTCGTTCTCGGTGCTTGTAGGGCACAGCTCCACGGGCACCCATTTCGAGCCGTCGCAGTGGACCGTCGTGGTGAACGTGCTGCCTTCAGCGCAGGGGGACACGCACACGTAATTCTCCCTGGGGGCGAGGCCGGTCTCGCTCTCATAGCTGGGATCCGAGACCCAAGAGCAGTTCCACGGCGCCCGCCAGTAAGGGCTGGGAAGCAGCACTACCTCACAAGCCCACGAACTCGTGGTGGTCGACGTGGTCCTTGTCGTCGACGTAGTGCTTGTCGCCGTGGTCGTGGTGGTCGTCGTGGTCGGGAGCAGGAGCTCTACCCAGACCCCAGTGTATGCCATGTTTGAGCCGCCGACCGAGGCTTGGCACGTCACGTCTCCGCCAGACTCGCTCACGGAGCCAACGATCGCCGCTCCATCGGCTATCCACTCCCCACCAGTCTCGTTGAACCAAGCGCACACAGGATCCCAACCATAGCCTTCCTCAGCCACGGCCGGGGTGGCTGGCATGGTCAGCGTCACCTCGAGCGGCGATGTGCCGTCCAGCGTGATGACCAGGCGGCGGCCATCGCCCTGGACGTACTCGATCGGCTCCCCGCACTCCTCCATGGAGAGAATCTTCACGGACGAGTTCGCATGCACGTACCCGTTCAACGGACCATTCGAAAGCGGCAGCACCTGACCCTTTGTCGGGTCTGCGTACGAGTGTGGGTTGCTGTTGATCCAGTTGGTCTGTTGGATGGAAATATCCGAGCACGGTGTCGACGACAGCCGCCGGGCCTGCGACCCCCACGACAGGCCCGACACCCCGACACCGTCGCCCGAGATGGACAGCATTTTGGCCAACCCCATCTGGGCCCCTGTGCCAGAGGCGTCCGTCCCATCCAGCATCTGCTCCGTGCCGGCGGTCATTACGCTTGCGGCCGTCGTGCCGAGCTGGTTAGTCACACTGATCAGAGTCGCTGCGAGAGTCTGCTGCTGAGCAAATGACCTAACAATCGTCCCCGCCGATCGCGCCCCTGATGAAAAGCCCGAGCTGGCTGCGTTGATCGAGGAAAGGCTGCTCAACATCGCACTGCCGCCAGCGTTGTCGACGCCGCCGCCAGAAGCGAGAGCGACGCCGAGAGCTGACCCCACGACACTGTGGACGGCAAGAAGGTTGTCCACGCTCATGGCGCCGCTGCCAGCCGATACCATGGAGCTGATGGTCGATCCGAGCTGGGTCACGCCGGCGGAGTCGGGCTGGAAGATGTCTACGACGAAGGTGAGTGCGCTCAGTGACTCCTGCACCGCAATCTGCTTCAGCGTCTCGTTGTCTCCGGAAGCGGTGGCAGAGGTCACCGCCCCCAACGTGTGCAGGACTGCGCCCGCATTGTTCGAAATCAACGAAGAATCGAACACTGACAAGAGGTTGGCAGCCGTTAGCTCGTTCTCCGAAACCGCGACCTCGACGCCAGGCACCGTGGCTGTGCCGATAGCACCAAGACGATCCTTGGCCCTCACCAATATGAAGAATGTCCCTGTGGGCAGAATCATGTCTGCAAGCTGGGACGAGGAATCGAAGTCCTGCAGGAGCGCCCCTCCCAGCTTCGACCAGTACCTTGGACTTCGAGGGTCGTCCCATTCGATGATCGGCAGCACCCAGCTCTCGGTGGGCCCAGACTGCGGGAAGCGGTACATCGCGTACTCGAGCGATGCGGGCTCCTCATCGGTCCATGCGAGCGTGGAAATGGTGAAGGGCGTCACGACAGAAAAGCCCGACATCGGGCTCACAGACACAACGCCTGGAGTCATGTTGCTCCCATCGTACTTAAGGGCCACGTCCCCAAACAATTGTTTCGAGCACCGAAACAGTGTTTCCCAGGGCTCGACACGTGAAAACCCTAGAGTTTCGGTACTTTCTTGGTGCTCGAAATTCTTTCCGTTGATCAAGGCTAGACTAGGCTGGAACATCATACAGTATTCGGCCTGACCTAAGGAACGAAACAGAAGGAATGAAGCCCCATTGTCTGCAAATAAGTCAACGAAGTCCGAAGTAACACCAGCGGGGTCCCGCCGCCAAGAAGGTAGCGGAACACATGCAAATCAAAGGAACGACCGAGCCCTTTTTGATGAAAAGTAAGTGTTCCTTATCCAAGCCGGACCCTGTAAAGAGGGTAGAAAATCCACCCCGATAATAACCACCCCGACACGCGAAGCAGTTAGTAAACGCACCCAAAGGAGGAATCAAACAGGGCAGGGCTCTTTAATAAACGCCCAAAGCCATTTAGTAAACGCCAATTGTCCGGTCCGGGTGGCTATTCCTCCCTTGACTGTAGGCCTGGAGTCGGCGTGCCGTCCGCCACGAAGCGCGCCGAGAACGTGGCGAAGAGGCCGAGAGCCTCGCAGGCCGAGACGGTGCCCAGCCCCTCCAGGTCCGGCGCCTCGCCCGGGGCCACGGTCTCGGGCAGAACGAGGAGCACGAGGGCATACTCTTAAGTCGGGCACGTCCCCCTGCAGGGGGACTTTGGGCGAAGAACAAAAAAGGTAGACCCCAAAAGTACCCCAAGATGGTTAGAACAACTCAGGAGATCGTCCCCAGACCGTTTATCACTATTTCCCTACCTAGGCTCTGCCTAGACGGGTTCTTACCCTGTGTGCTTAAAGGGATGGGCAACGGAAACCGGCCCGGGCGGTTCCCCCGGCATCCGCCCCGCGGTTCCCCCAGTTGCGCCCCCTGGGTTCACCCAGCTTAGCTTAGCTTAGCTTAGCTTAGCTTAGTTTAGCTTCGCTTATCTCATCTTAGTTTAGCTTAGCTTAGCTTAGCTTAGCTTTGCCTAGCCTAGCCTAGCCTAGCTTAGCTTAGATAGCTTAGCTTGACTTAGCGTATATCATCTTAGCTTAGCTTAGTTTAACTTAGCTTAGTTTAGCTTAGTTTAGCGTAGCTTGGTTTAGCTTAGCTTAGCATAGCTTAGCCTA